GATTGACTTAAATTTGGGCAAAATAAATTAATGTTGAACCAAATGATACTGTAACATTCTGTGAAAAAGTACATCTGGTATCTGTTACTGATAGTCTAATTATGAAAAGATATTTAATAGGAGATGTATCACAAGTTTAGTTTTTTTAACATATCCGTTTGTGACAGTATTACTGGAGAAAATGAAAGAAAATTTTTATTGTTACCCTTATCAAATATTTACAAAGAACGATATTTATTTTAACAATATTTTCCTCTACTGAAATATTCTTGAGAGAATATAATGAGAATACGTTTAAAATCATGATTAAAATTCACTACAAGAAGTATTATCTTTTAGATTGTTACAATTCTCGTTACTTTGGCTTCGATTATTAGTTCATCATATGCAGCTTCTAAATATATTTTACAAAGGTTTTTCAATTCTCTACTAAATCTGTGTTGAACATTTGATATCAGCTATGATATATTTTCATCGCTTTTCCATCGATTATTTTATCATATTTTTTTTTTACATATTACAGCAACTTGCTTGGTTTTAGTCATAAACAATTACTTATAAGATATCGTTCACTTGAACAATATTCATGATTCAATAAATTAAGTTTAGTAATAAATAATAAATGATTGAGTTCTTTTTTTTATAATTTGTATTAGGTCGTATGCAAATACAAAATCGATAGGTTTAAAAAATTCGGATTTTTAGAAATAAATTGTTCTTCATCTACAGTCAATACATAAATCTTTAAAAACGCTTGTGCGATATGAATGAACGAAGAAGTCTACTAATGAGTTAGATATGTTTTCGAAGCTTCACAAGAACGTGAAGAATCACACATACTACGGTATATAATTGATAATGGAGCCACTATTGGACAGCTGAAAGATAAACAAGGGCAAAGTTAATATATGTATTATAAACCTCAACTCATGAGAAGCTGAAGCAGTACTTATTATGAATTAAATGTCTTCAACGGTTATAAAATGAGGCAAAAAAAGTAGAATATTTTTGTATAACAATATGTGTCAAAATCAAATGTGTTCTTTTGACAATAGTTTTTAATCAGCTCACTGCTTCCCTTTTCTTTAGTACTCCAATAAAATAGAGTAGATATGGTTTTTTCGACACAAGAATGTAGTCAAAGAAAAAAAAAGAATCAAGGCTTAGTATACCGTTCAATCCTCTTCCTCTACTATACGATCACTACACCTGTCAAACGAACCCACACAAAGAGATGGACGATCGGTGGACCAGACCATATAATTGGTATAAAGAGGAGAGGGGAGAGGAGAGAGAAGTCAATAATTTATATATAAAATTATTTTATCCGTAACTCTGCTGGAACTCATGTGGTCCGAGGCAAGGTAAATTGTTTATATGCAGTGAAATTTTGATTCCTATATCAAGGATTTGAAAAAATGAAATTAAAACACAAAGAATTATTTGTTAAGAAAAAGCATCAAGAATTAGATTTTAAAGAAGAAAAATATATTATAGAAGTGGATCAATTATCTCATATTTGAAAGTTTATTATGTTAAATCTTTACTTTAACATTGATGAAAATTATTACAAATAAATAAAATAATTAAAGAAGTTTTTTATAATCTATTGATCTTTTTCTTTGGATGAAACTGTAGTGAAAACAGTTGAAGGTTTATGAGATCAGGTAAACATATTGGATAGAATTAATATTTGTGTATGGAAAGAATCTTGTTATGACATTTTTTGCTCTTAGTTAGATATAACGACTTACAACAAGTAAATATCATATCGAATGCAACTTGATGATTAATGTAGTCGAATTGATTCTAATCTAGATAATTTATCTATCATATCTCAATTATTGCATGAGAACTATGAATATTTACTTCATACAAATATATTCTATTGAGTCAAATTCGTTTCATAATCTATTCAGTCTTTTTTAGATAGCTTGCATATTAATCTGAAGAACAAGAACAGCATGTCAATAGACCAGTAGAAACATCAGATAAATAATATACAAAACTAATAATAGATGATACATGGCCACCAAAACTTTCAGCTATAATAATATTCAAAAAAAATTGCTGTGAAATAATGCTAAACAAATTGCATACATGACTTGTTTTTTTTTATCGGGTAAAGAGTTTCTTGCAAGAAAGTTTTTGATAATTTTTATCACCTGCTGCTTGAAAAATATGCTTTTTCTTTGTTAATGTTTTTTTGATCTTCAAACTCAGAATTATCTGTGCACCTTCATTCGATATATTTAGTTCCTTTTTTGTTTGAACGAGCGCATCAAGATGTAGGGCATGACAAAGTTCTTTTTTTTTAAATTAGACTTCGTAATTGTTATATAAGAGAATATTTCTATGATTAGAACGTTATTTTTTCAGTGTTTTTCTGGGGTTAAAAACTAAAAATTTTTATTATTATTAATTAGCAGTTATAGTTTAATCTTGTCATAATTTTCAATTTTGAAGTACACTATAAGAGAGAGTATTCAGAGCTAAACAAAAACCGTGGATGTTTTGTTTTACAACAGCTGTTCTTAATTAGATTTTTTAAACACTCGTTAATACTGTATTACTAACTAAGAAAATTGAGCTTTGAGAAGTAGTGTATTTTGTAGAGATGAGTTTATTTTATCGAACGAGACCTGATTACTCTTTGTACATCGTGCTATTCATGAGATACAGCGCGTTGAAAATAGTTTAGTCAAAACAAGGCGAGAAATAGCAAGAACTTTTTCCGAAATTAATGATAAATATTGGAAACGTTTCCCAATTTGAGGATTATATCGTAGAAAAGGACACTAGGTCTCGTTGGATAGAATAAACTCTGCTCTTTAAAATACACTGTTTACCAAAGTTTTGAAACTTTTTCTTTAAGCTCAATTGTCTTAATTATTAATACAGTATTGATTCAATTCTAGAATAGTGCGTAAAAAATTCTCATCAAAACCGATTGTTGTAAAACAAAACATACACGATTTTCTTTAGTTCTCAGTTTTCTTTCTTATAGTGTACTTCAAAGCCGATAATTATGACAAGATTTATCTCTGGCTGCTAATTAATAATAATCAATATTTAACTATTATAACCAACAGTTTTTCAAAACTTTTTTATATCAAAATGTAGCCCGTTCAATTTGAGATCTAATCATATATTTTTTGAAATGCTTTCTATTCTTCAACAATGGCAAAATCAATAAAATACAAAAAGTATCTTAACATTTTGTCCTGCCCTATACGAACTTCGTACAGTGACAGTCATTGAAGATTGAAAATTTCAGAACGCACTCAGGTCGGTTGTGCTGAACTCATGTTAGCATACGAGAGACAAAATCAAATCATTGAATTGTCCATCAATAGAAGATCTCTTTGACAAATATCTTTGAATTCTCTATAATCAATATAAGACAAATGGCAAAGTAGATTTATTGAACTTTATTCGAATTGATAAAAAATAATTGTTGTGTTGTTTTCCTTAAGATTTTACTGAACAAATATCTCCTTAATGCATGATTGTACACGAATAAACTGATCATATCACCAAGTGAACTCAAAATAGGTAAAATGGTAATTAGTCGTTGAATCGTATGTGGAATAGCAGAACCAGTCCAGTTAATTACTGCTATAATATAGATAGGTGTCCAACCACCTATAAATATGCTAAACATGGTAAATATATGTTTAAGTAGATAAATATCACGACGACGATTTGTCGCTCTTAATGAACCCGAACTTATCGGTTGAACTGTACGAGACGATTGAATAGTACGTATGACAATAATTGC